AGCCTGCTACAAAAAAAAAACAATTTCAAAAACAAAAAGGTATACTACTGCGCAAATGCCAATGAATCTCAAACTTATGAATAGTTTAAAAAAAAATTTCAAAACTACCAATCTAAAATATTTCAACAAATAGTGGATTTGTGTCCAAATACCCTGGTATATTAAAAGCACGTTCTTCCTGTACTCCACAATGTATAGCTTAATTGTATATAGAAAACATGACAGTTAAATTATGACTGAAGAACTTTATTAGACATAGCAACAAGAGTATTTTGCCTGTCAATGTGCAGCTGGTAACTTCTAATTAAAATTTAAACTTCAAAGTTCTTATATAACAAACTTATCTATAAAAATTGGATTGATTCAAGTTTTGTTTTTAATGAAGAAAATATCTGTTAGCAGGCAAGTAATGTAATATGACAACTTAGTCAACAATTATGAGAAGGAAATAAATATATAAAATCAATTTTCAAAATGAGTAAGAAGTAGGATGATAATTTTTAAAATTTTTAGACCTGATAATTTTTACTATATTACCAAAAATCCTTTATATACTATAATAAGTATATTTATATATATCTAAAAACATCTTTAAAATTGAGTTTGTTTTATGGAATAAAAGTCTATTATAACATAGAAATTTCCTTTACGTTTTGAAAGAATGCCGATTGACAAAGACAACTTTTTCTCTTAATTTTTTTCTTTCCCTCTAGTATTTTACAACTTGCAAAAAACTTTTTTTTTACATTAAAACTTTTTTACATTAAAACTGAATGACTCTGAAAAATTCAGTGATTTTCAAAAAACTTTGGCTTTATTGGCTAAAACAGGTTTATCAAAAACAATTATTTTCTTGTAATAATTAGAATGTTGTAAAATCTTTATAATGAAGTGTTCTCAAACTCCAAAACATAATGTTGATATAATGCGTAATGTATATGGCATCATTTTTTTTTATACTTAAGTTATGAATACTTAAAACAGTTTAATCACACCAGAAAAATTACACCTTAAAATACTTCTACCAATTCAGATGTTTCACTGTAGAGATAAAAAATTCTGCCAAGTGATTTGAATCTACACGTTCAACACCTCTCACTATAATAGGCAGTTCTATCAGATGTGATAATCTAGCTTGTTAATTCAGCAACACTTGTCCATTCCAATGAGAAAAATGGCTTGACAAATTCATTAATAGTAAACCATACAGGATAAGCACAGCCTTACATTTGAATACTTTGTAACATTAGTTTGGCTTAAAAACTTTCAATACCTCACTATGCTTTGTATACTTTTATTTCCTACATATTATTAATGTAACTAGTTTTAACTTTTACATCGTTAGTAAATTTTATTTGGTGCGCAACTGAAATGCTATTTTTATTTTTAGAGTAAATTTGCTAAATATCAATTTTTATTTGTGATAGTGATGATATGCATCAACTATTCACCAATACAAGTAGTTCAGTACATATTTAGTTTTAGGTTGTTACACACAACTAGCATTCTATTTTGTTCTGAAAATCCTTTCAACTCTTTAGAAGATACTACCTAGAAAAAAATACATTTAAAATGGTGAAATGTGACACACACTCAAAAGACAGCAAACAAACACTTTGGAATAGCCTTTTAAACTTTCAAATTATGAAATAATTTTTTAATCAGTAAAATGATTTTCTACTATTAATTCTGAATTATCTAATTGTAATCGAGAGAAACAAATCACAGCCAAATGCATCAAATTAACCTTTCTAAAACCAAGATATCAAACAACTCCCTATAATGAACATGGGTAAAATTTGTTCTCATATTAAATTATCTACAGGGGTTTTATAGAAGGTAAATGAATCACGATTTCTTATAAGTGATTATAAAACTGTTTCCTGGTACCTTTTTTTTACTATGAAACATTACATGTGGTTACACAATATACTAATGTTGGTAATAAGATGGTTAAATTCTATTGCTCATCAAAATATAAATATGAATTTCATAACAAATATGCAAAAGTCAAGTATAAGCCATCAGTTCTATCAATAAAAACTTATCCTTAACTAAGCTACAAGACTCCTTATAGAAATTTCAGAGGGTAAGAAAAAAATCACGTATACTTTTAAATTTAAAAAATCTCCTCAGGCAAAAACTGTGAATTTTGTTTTATATCCATACTTAAATCTAAGAGAAAAATTTACAGACATTCCTAAAATAGAAAAAAAAAGCAACTATTGCTTAACATGAAAAAAAATTTCAGAAATAAGTTTGTTCTAAAAAGAAACTTTAAATATTTTAACACATTAAAGTTAATAAAGACAGTAATAGCCTATGAAATATTTCACTAGTACTAATTTATTAGTTTTAAGATGTGTAATGGAATTTTGTGTAAGAATTAAACTGGTGTGTAAAAACACTTTAAATGCAAATCATTTTTGGAATTTCAGTTTTTTAATTAATGAATAGTTATAAAAAAGCACAATGTTTTACTTTCAGTTTCTACCTGTAGCATACCTTGTGTAAATTGTATAGGTTTTTACACTTCAACTGTAGACCAAATAAAGTGTAAAATAAATATGCATGCACACTACAAGAATAATTATGTTCCCTTGATATATTTGATATTTACATAAAAAAAAATATTATTTAGTAGCAATTAATATAAATATATGTTAAGGTAATTACATACATTGCACACTGTAATTACAATGGAACATAATATCTGTAGAAAGAATGTATTTATACAAAACAAAATGTGTATTTATAAACCAATACTATTTTGCTTTACACACAAGAGGCCTCAGTTTACTTTTATGCACCATTTTCAATAATGCAAAATAGAATAACAAATGGCTTTACTAGTTGTCCAATCTAGTGTACCACATATGTAAAGGTGAACACACAGAGAATGTGATTGTGTACAAGTACATAGAAAAACAGAGGTAAGAGAAGAGAATGACAGATGAATTTTGAAGCATAATTTCTTTTTCCCATTTAAACCAGAGAATGTCATGGTTACCAAATTTTGGAACTTTAATCATGTGTAAACATACAATTGTTTTAGGATGTCAGATGCCTGAAGTTGCATAGCTACAATATATATATAGATATATATATATCAGAGAATTAAGGGAAAATTGAAAAATATAGTTTGCTTTCCATAGAATAAGTAAATATAGTATAAGTTTCTGATGCTCTTTTTCACTTAAACATTAAGTCTGTATATAATGATGTGTAATTTAGTAATACACTGCATAAAAACATTATTGAAAATACTACTAATTATTATAATAATTATATTTCAAAATCCTGGCAAACAAATTATGAGTTATTAATCAAATATAGCTAGTTATTAATTACCTGAAATTCATCACCCAAATTGAACATGGTTGCATGTCAAATGATTTTTTAAAATACAAGTAGCCCTTTTTTTTTCTTTTATGACTGATAATGCATATACCTGAGCAACAAAGATCTAAGACTTTTCCTAGTTTCTCTCACATGATTCAATACAAATATCTGAAAACTCTCCCAGTTTCTCTCACATGATTCAATACAAATATCTGAAAACTCTCCCAGTTTCTCTCACATGATTCAATACAAATATCTGAAAAGTCTCCCAGTTTCTCTCACATAATTTGATATTTGCTATAACCACATGTTAAATATTTTGTCTCAAACTAACAAACAATTAGTATCATGTTTCATTTGTGCAAATTGATTATTTTCTAGATGAACCTTTATCATGTTGTAACTTTGATGGTCAAAATAGTTTCATAGTATCACTGAAAGCAGAAGCAAATAATTCATCTCATAATTTATTCAATCTATTTGGTTTTAAACACAATCACAAAATAAAGAGTATAAGAAAATATTTAACAAACTTATGCAATTATAAAAAACAAACAACTGATAATGACAATGCATTATTATATTACTCTTTTATTATATTTAACTCTTTTAACACATATAGTTACATTAATGAATAGGAAGATAAGATAAACTTTAAATGAAAGTTCTTTACCAGGGCACTTAATGCAGTTAAAACACTACAAGGAAAGTGAAATACTTTATAATGTATTATATTTATACAGTTTGGAAAGTGGCACTTGAAAGCAACATTTTTGAAGTGTAATTTGTTTTAATACTTTGTAGCTTTTGACAATGTAATTGCCATTCTGAAAGACATCTATTACTTGGAAAGTTATTTGATGATCCAGTTTGAACAATATTAACAATTTGAAACTTTGATATGTGACATTTATGCTACTATTATTTGAAACAAAATAAATCAATTTCTCCAACTGATACTACAATATAAAAATTACATTTTAATTTATTCCATACATGACTTATAAACTCTATTAGTACGATAATATTTTATTTCAATCTCTCGGAGAGAAAAAAAGTCAAAAAGAAAAATGACACCTTTTGTGTTTGTCTCAAATAAAAGAAAATTATAGCACCCCAATAATTTAAGTTACAAACAATTTATGCTAATATTCAGAGATGAACTGCTACAGAAATAATCATGGATCTAAAATGTATGAACCATCATTTTAAATCTGAGTCAAGTTTTACCACTTCACTGTTTTATCACAGATATACCGCCCACAGTGAAAATAATTCAATATACATTGAAAGTTCTGAAATGTTTTCCCTACATGATTTTACAATTGTTGGAAATACCAACTTACATATAAACCAGACACGTATATATATATGTTTTTTAATACAAAAAATTAACACCAATATCAGCCATTTGAATTTTCATCCCTATATCTTATTCAAAATCTACTACCTATGAAATTTACAGAATATGGAAATGTGAAGAAAATCAGCTTTAACTTCATGGAGAAATCTTTAGTTTCACTTATCTTCCTCCTAAATGAAAATAAAAAAATTAAGTTAGAAGTCATTGTACACTGAATGTGTTGTAAAATGGTATTGCAAGTCTGAGAATTGAAGTAATAAGAGGACAACATAAGAAAACCTGTAATCGTTTTTCACAATACTAACTTTAGACAATAAAATTTTAGAAATGGAACTGGATAATATTACCTTTAATACAATTTTTCAATAAATCATACATTGTCACCGATGCTCTTAAATTTAATTTTACCATAAAAGAAAAGATTCTGGAGAATAATTAACATATTTATTATCACATTGTATGTTGTTTTCATAATTTGTGTCTATGAATAGAATCCATACCAGTGAATGCAATTTATAAAATTGTCGAAACACAAGATAACATCTTTTGCGGTGACTTAATGTACTTTAAATAACACATACATTTTACCACACAGTGTATCTATGTAAAGAGCATTAGTATCAATAATATGTAAAATGTTTCAATGTTATGGTAAAATTCTGACATCAGTAAGAAAATATGTATCATTTTACAGCTGGTACAAAAACCTACCCATTCCTCAGGATCCACACCCTCAAAGTTGTCTTGGGGTAGGGCATTATCTTCAAAATTCATCTTTTCTTTCATAGCACTTACTATCTGTTGATAAAAATGAAAAACAAAAAAAAAGAAATCAATAGAGAATGATTACTTAACTTTGTTAGAAAAAATTGGAATGGGCACAAACTCCTTCAGATATAGGTGTTTAGACACCTGTGGAACAGAACCTACAGCTTGAATGCACTCACTTTAGGAAAAAATAATCTTTTAGTTTTTATAATTTCCCTTAAGAAAATGTAATAGCTTCAAACCTTCATTTTTAAATAATTCAATACAGTTTCAGCAAAGCCTCGTGATTTTTTTCATGAGTATACTTGACTAGAAATTTTTTCAAGCTTCTATGTCCCAGTTTTTATATTTTTCTTTCTTATTTTCTTTTTTTTTTGGGGGGGGGGGGAGGCTATGAAGCACGTAATGAGGCCAAATCTAAATTAAATCTAGATTTAGCATTACTTGGGAGGGGGGAGCCATTGGCATTCCAGGGAAGCCAGGCCCCTCAACTAGTGTCACCCATGCTTTAACTTTCAAAAATGTCTTATTTAAGCTTCTGCCTTTAGCTAATATTGATTTAGATCTTTTAAACAATTTTTATTCCCCAAACTAAATTTGAAAGCTAATGACACCTAATACTGTTATGGTTTATTAAAATATTGTGTTTTAGTTATTTTCCTTGAAAATCTTTGTTTACCCTTTCTTCCTTTTCCTTTCCTCCTTGCATAAATGCCAGTGAACCTTCTAGTATTAACTCTCCTTCAAACACTAACATTGGTTCTTCTTCAGTATGTGTCAATTTGGGAGGTTTGGACTCTACAGCTTCAGACACTACAAAGCAAATAGAAAAAAAGTGACCATCAAGTCTAAAAAAGATCTTAAACATATAACTGAATGTGATGTTATGCAGCCAATCTGTCACATATGTGAAGCATAAAATATTATTAAAAAATTCAACGATTCCTACAATTTCACTTATCAAATCAAATATACTGACTTTGAAATATCAATGCAGAAGCCTGTACACGAAATCTCGATCTATCCTTAACCTGAATACAGATAATTAAAAAGTAAGTATGGTTATAACCTATATACAATACTTCATTATCACTCCCAAGTTAAAGCCACCTGATGATATAGAAATGTATGAAAGCCATGCTTTAACTGATGTACAGCAGTTAGAATTATGCCACAAAAGAATTTCATGCACAATTTTATTTATTGTACTGTGTGTTCTCAATATAATTTTGAGTTTGATACTTAGACTAGTCAAATTTGGTTTAGGTTTTTGTCCTCAATGGATGAAGAGGGATTAGGATTATTGAATGTATGTACAATACGGTTGAATTTTCTTTTCTTTTTTTGAAATACAAATCACATCCTTCTAAATTTTTGTTTCAATACTATTAACAGTAAGAAATTATCAATAAGTTCAAAATATTTTTCTTTTCTCACAGTCTTTCACTGACAAACCAGAAAAAGAATATCATCTATATTTTGGTCAGACTTGCACAATAAATAGAAATTGTCAATATATACTACATTCAATATTAAACAAATAAAGAAAAACTTTTCAAAAAAGGAAGTAAATGTAGGGATGGCTAATATCAATCCTTGAAAAACAATGCAAACATGATAATAAGATGGGCATTTGCATCATCCCCACATAATAGTACAGACACACTGTGTTACAGAATGTTAACAGACAAAAATAGGATACACTCAATTTTGACTGACTAGTTATATAGGTTGCTATATGTTAATTCTTGCCTGTGCTATTATGTCAAGATGATGCAAGTGCCATCTCTACAATCTTCTTTGCATTGTTTTTGAAGGATTGATATTAGCCATCCCTACATTTGCTTCCTTTTTTTAAAAAGTTTTTCTTTACTTGTTTGCTTGTTGTCTTTAATGCAATGTTTCAATAGACATAGGAAGTTCTAAATACAATGAGGTTTCAACTGTAACATTTATTGTTTATCTATTATTAGCTGGTAATTCCTGTTTCACCCTGTATTTAAGCATTTTAAAAGAACCCAAATTTCTACTAGTTATTAATTATACTTATAAAAGCAAATACTTCATTTGAAACTATGTCATCTCAGTGAAATTGGTTGACACCAGTTCTGGTTTTGGAGTTATAATGTAAATAAAAAAAAAAAAACAAGGAGAAGAAAAATTCAAACTTTTTGCTGTGATATTTACAGATATTCCCAAAATTGTGACTCAGTTATTACATAGATATTGTTATAAAAGGAAACATTGTATAGTATCGTAAAGTTCTGGTGACCTATTGAAGAGATATTTAAAATACCATTTCAATGAACAATCTGAACCATTCCTACATAGGCAGTGCTACTACCACCTGCCTGATACTGGTTGGCTAAAATGCAAATTGTTATGGGAGTAATGAAATAAACACTGTATAACTCAGTTTCTAACCTATATTAGTAAAAATATAAAGATTCATATACCAAAAGGGTTCCAGCAGGGAACACAAAATACATATGTATATCCTACAATTATCTAAACCCACCTAAAGAAAAAAAAATTAAATCTTTTAAATGTAGTTACTACCATGTGTTTTGTGGCCAAAAAACAACCTGCAGGACACACTTTGTGTTATTTACAGTGTAGCTCAGATTGTGGTAATACAAACTATCATATATTGTCATAGGATGTGTTCGACTGGAATCTTACTTCACATAAGAAAATTTCAAGGCAATCCATTAAGAAATACCCGAGATATAACATCTTCAATTTTGATTGAGTTTATTCTTATTTATTTTTTCTCATTTGCACCAAAAGTATTGAAATTTTATTTGATAAAAAACATACTTAACTTTTATGGATGTTTTTCAAATCTGGTATACTGATAGATCTTTACAACCTACAATTAGGAGTCTCATTTGATGTAAATATAAGCCTCACGTGCAAAGTTATTCAACAAAAACTGCTCATATTTAACAAAAAAATTTGCACATGCCTACACAAAAAGTCACTTGAGCTGTCAGTCTAACATTTTCACTTCAGTTTCACCTAAGAGTAAAAGTGGACCATTTTTAGTTTTTTGTCATTTGGATTAAAGATGGCTGATTTAGAGCAGCACAACTATAAGGTGAAAAGACATGCAGTTCCATAAGTATTGGTTAGGCCAAGCAAACTAGTTAGCAGTTTCTAGCTCAAGTTTTCAAAAGAATTATATGGGTGGACAGTTATTATTGATTACTCATTATCAACTTTTCAGCACAAATTTATTAAATTTTATTAAATTGTCCTAATTAAAGAGTGTTTAGCATCACATGATATTATCTTAAGCAATTAGCATAAATAATTATGCTTGATACAGCTGTATAGATTGCATGGGGATGATGACAAGAAACTGTATCTAAATTGCAAGGCATTAGAATAAAGGAAGCTATTAACACTGTTTTATAGAGAAAACTACCATCATATATTTTAAAGAATCTGCTTGGTGCTGTAAAGTTTTCTGTTCTGAATAATAGGATTGTGACCCTAAAGCTAATGTTGTTTACTATAAAGTGTCACTTTCTTACTTGGTGTGGTTTGTTGGTGTGTGTTGATAAAAAGTCATGATATCTAACCAAAAACACTTTAGGTGTGAAAAAAGGTGCAGCAAGGATTCAGCGTGTGACTTAAAGGAATGAAACCAAAATTGGTAGTTACACTTATAGCATTGATAAGAATTTTAGAGCAAATATTCATTCATTAGTTAGCTAAGCCATGTATTTTATTTTACCATTATCATGCCCAAAGTTGAAAAAAAAATATGGCCTGGCTAACTAATGAATGAATATTTGCTGTAAAATTATTATCAATGCTATAAGTGTAGCTACCAGTTTGGCAGCCAATATTGATTTTATTCCTTTAAGTTGCATACTGAATCCTTTTTGGGTGCACCTTTTTTCAAACCTAAGTTGTTTTTGATTAGATCTAATACCATCCTAGCACTAAATAGCTGAAAAGTTTAACATTAAACCTGTGAATTATTAAGCACACAACTGGGTATCATTCTTCCAGATTTCTGATAGATTTTTGAAACAGTTATCAAATATAAAATGTGGAAATAAACAATATTATTTTTTTTTAAGAAATTCTACCTCTTTGATAAACTCAGTACCTTCAGAATCATTAAATTGTTTACACTACAAAATTCAAATCAAAAAGTTTATTTAACACATTTATAACTCACGTCACACAAAATCTTTTGATGCAAAAGAAAAGCATTTGCTTTATTATTTCATAAAAATGAGATGTCATTGCTCATTCAAGAATATTAGAATTAAGACCTACTGAATAGTCACAAATATTTAAAAACATCACCATCATCTTTTATATTTTCTGCAGAAAATTAGTTCCAAGTTCAATTATATATCTACTATTACTATTTTCTTCAATTATTATATCTGATACTAAAAGATTTAAACCTGCAATATTCTGCTGGCTTTTAACTCAATAAACAAATAATTTCTATATCAATTATCGAGATTGCTCAAATATCAACAGTTAAAATTCATATACTGTTCAACAATCTGTTTTCAAAACCTTAGTAATGGTACTAAATTCTTTCAGCTCCTGTTGAATAAAGAATTATTCAAGCATCAAAAATAGATTTTTGAATACATTGTTTGAATCCTGAAAAAAGCAATAGAAAAACTTACATGGTGTCATGCCTTCTGGTTTAAGACTGATCCACTTCTGTTCTCCATTCTTCTTATCAAACCACATATGACTAGACACAGTTGGTTCCCATGTTACACGAACATCTGGGAAGAGGTCATCTTGAAAATACTCTGACTAAAAGACGAAGACTTTATGGGCATCGAGCATGTTATTTTCCAGCAAAAATAGTAAGTTAGTTACACCCTATTCTTTCTTTGAGGTTACAATCATTAACAATATTGGTTATTATATTTACAATAACTAATTTTTATTATTATCATTACTGCTATAAAGATTATTTCATATCATTAGCTTCATTTATGGATTTAAGTCTAAATCTAATAAGCTGCACAAGTCAAGTATAACTTTTAAAACAGTGTGACAGTTCTTACTTGGACATTGGCCTACCCTACTGATAATTTACCATAGTGTACACATAGAGTTAAAATATTTCATATTTTTACTAGTTTTTATTTTTGTAGTATAATGATTATTCTACATAGTAAATGTTATTATTTTGTAATATAAAGGTTATTTCACACTGTTAACCTAATTATGGATTCATGACTACCCTAAGTTTACTAAGCTTGCCAAGCCAAGTTTATCTTTTACTACAGTAGGACACACGGTGTTGATGTAATATTTAATATATCTACTTTCATTTTAAATAAATTGATTTTTATATTCATTATTTTATTATAAAGATTATTTTTCATTGTTAGCTTAGCATATGGATTACAGACTAAGCTAAGTCTCCTACGTGGGCCAAACTTCATGAGATATTAGATGTACAGCTGAAAATGTTAACCCATTTAAAGAAACAATGCATTCTAATTATGCATAATATACTTTGAACAGTATATTTAATTACATATGCTAATTAATAGGAATGTATTTTTAGTTCTGAACTATGTAGACATCTTGCTTTGATCAGATGTTAATATTAAATATTTGATACCTAATCACTCAAAATATAGTAGTAAAATGGTTAGATCTCCAATATATTTCACATCAAGAAACTGGCAGTTCGACAGATTCATAGTATTTCTTCTTAAAGTTATGTATTTAAGAGAATCCTAAACAAACAATAGTATTTTTGTCCCAATACAAGTGCATGAAACTTTATGTTGGACAGATAAGAAGGATTAAGTTCTTATTATTCACATCAGTTAGATAATGAAGTGAAGTACTCACTCTGAGGCGTGGTACAGTGAAAGACAATGGTTCAATGCTGGTCTTTGTCAGTCTTAAAGCCCTGGCAAACTCTACATCTGCGATGTTACATACACACTTTGGAAAATATACAATGGCTTGATGAGGTCCCGGACACTTATAGTGTGATAATGGATAGAGGTAAGGTGAGCTTGCAGACACCTCGAATACAAACACAGTGGAATCACCCTGGCAGTAAAATGAGAGACATCAACATTTTGGATTGTATTTCTGCAATAGCTGTCACCATATGCTGTGGTCCAATTATATACTATAATGCATATTTTATTATTTATAGTGTGTCAGATGAAGTCTAACTTATACTTCATCAGGCCTAAATACTTTCTTTTCAGAGTTCTGGAAATGTTGAAAGAATTAAAAAACATGAAAGTGACACTTTAAAGATCATGAAGACATCATAAATCAGGACTCAGAGAGCTATTTATAAAATATGTTACGATTTTCAGCAGTACTAACTGCTAAACTATTTGAACTATTGCATGTATTTCAAATGTAAGAATAATATAAACCTGCAAAACAATAATACAAAAATAATTTCTTCAAAGATGAAGAAAATGTGAGCTACAAAACTTTCCCATATACAATTTTCAAAAAAAAGGATAGTGAATATTCTAGTCTTTATTGCAATATACTTCGTAAACCAGCAAGTAGTTTACATTTAAGAAATGGGATATAACATAAAATTCCAAATATTTGATGTCATGATGCAAGACCAAAACAGCTGGAGGACAACATGGTTCCTAGCGAAAAAAGTTAATACTTTCTTCCACTGAAAATATATTTCAGATAGTTACTTACCTCCTTTTACCCAAAGCTATCTAGATCTGTGCTTGCCTCTCAAGCATTGCTAAAAATTTACCCATAACTGCACACCAGTCTTTTATACCCATCAGTATTGCATCTTTTCAGAATATGTGCTGATCATGTGATTACCTTCCACCAATCATATTGTGCCATCTATACTAGTGCAGCTGGCTTCCTCTACTATTCTGAAATAATCCTCAATTTTGAGAATTGGCAGGTACAAACCAGAAACACCGGCATATCACTGGGGAGGAAGGGTGGGAAGTGGGTGAAAGGAGGTAAGTAACTATTGGAAATACATTTTCAGTGTAACAAAATGTTAACCTCCTCTCACCCAAAGCTAGAACACCACATTGCAGAGGTGAAGGGGCCGGTGAAGACATGTCAATATTCAATCAAGTGAAAAGCAACCACACTGGAAGAACAGGTATGCAATAATATGAAAAGAAAGCACACATGTTTGGTATAGCACCACTTCTGGAACGGGTATGCTCTTTGTCCAGTAATGAACATAGTAATACAAAGAAAGCAGAACAGAATAGGCAGGCACCAATGCACTCAGGAGGGAGAACTACAGCACCAAATCAGTGGAGAAGTGCTGTATAGCTATGACTCCAAACAGCAAGGCATGGACAAACATGGAAGACACAGCTAGGTTGTGAAGGTAATGTTCAATAAATGTATTGGGAGTTGTCCACATACCAGCCTGAATGATCTCTTCCGAAGGATGGTGGTTTCAAGCAGCTAAATACACAGTTAGATGACTAATTTGGTGTGAAGAAACATTATTTAAATGGCAATCTTCCATGGACAAGATGGTATAAGGAACACATTGCAATCAGTTCAAAGGGAGAATGGGACAGGGCATGAAGGACAACATTGAGATCCCAATCCAGCAGAACAGAGAGACAAGGTGGATGGACCAGATGAAAGGAATATGAAAGGAGGAAAATAATTGGGGAGGAGAAGGCTTTCTGGAAGAAAGAGAATAGAAAGTGTTCAACAGGGCAGATCTATAATGAGCAACAGTTAAAATGGACAAACCCTGAACAAACAACCAGGTGATGAACTGAAGGACAGGATGGTCAGAGGCCAATGCGATTGGACTAAAGTCTGAAGTAAGGCCAATGCCTCTGGTATATAGACAAGGAAGAAGGGCAAATGGTATGGGCATGGAAAGATGTTACATGAGGGGGTGAGTCCCTGAGCTAAGCTGAGGTAAGGGACCGGACAAAGCCAAACATGAAAATGGAGTTTGGTGACGTTGGGATGAAATACTTCCAATCACGGGTGACAGAAAAGCAATCAGAACAGAGGTAAGGACAGGGGCTATTGCTCCCATAAGGGACAGAGCAGAGTACATCTGAGACAGTCAATATGGAGCAACCAGAAACACGACAAGAAATGGTCTGTATAGAGGAAATGACTCTGGAGAGGAGTCTAATTGGAGAGTAGACATATAGGTGAAGGCCCCTCCAATTTTGACTGAAAGTATACAACCCTAGAGCTGAGGAGTGAGGAGCTAAAGACTAAAAGGAGGGATTTTTTGGCATTCCAGTGAGTGGCAAATGCATCTATATGCAGTGTTCCCAGTTGAGAACACACCCATTGAAATACCTGAGGATAAGGGACTACTCCACTGGAAGAACCTGGTTGGGACTGGATAAGCAATTGGCCACAAAGTTCATAATTTCAGAAAAATGACATGCCAGAACCATTATGTCATGGTTGTTGGCCTAGTACAGGAGATCCAGAGTCTGAAAACACAGAGATCTGGACTTGGTTCCCCCTTGCTTAGTGACATATCTGATGACAGTGGAATTGTCAAAATGAACCATAACTACTCATAGGAGCAGGAGGAAATGATACAGAGCTTGATAAACTGCCAAAGGTTCAAGGATATTGAAAAGGAGAGTAGCCTCCTTGACTAACCACCAATGCAAAATCTTTTGGGAATTGATGAAAGCCCTCAACCCATCAAGGAAGAATCTGTGAACAGATGAGACTAGGGACGAGGCAGAAAATGGAAACCCAACCTTGGTCAAGTCCCTACTGAGCTCCCAAGCAAGATCAGTCCTGTTCTCAGGGGGAAGGGAGATGGGATAGTCAAAGGGATTATGGAAGAAGTTTCACTGGTCGAGAAGCAGCCATTGAAGGGAATGCAAGGGAATGAGGGTTGAGAAGGTAGGGCCTTCATGACCACCCACTCCATATCTCGCAGCCAAAGTGGAGAAGGCTGGTCCCAACTGAGATGGGAATTGAAGAGAACCCCCATATGAATAAGAAACTGTGTGGCAATGTTCCCTCTAATTTTTTCAAACCAGGTGCGGAATGAATTTTTTCACATGCACCAGTATCAATGCAATGTGCAAATGTTTGCTACCATTTTTTTTTTGGGGAAGGGGGGTATTTTTAGATCATCAACCCTATTGAATCATTAGGCTGCTTTGAAATGCTACCAGTTGGTTATCTGGGCTTTAGGCCTATTGACTCCCAGGGTCATTAATGTTGTCAATGTGTTGAGACTCCTCACCATTACTGAGGATGTGCACGGCACTTGATTGGTTGTTGTATGGCTGCGCAACTTAGAGGGAACACTGCTGTGCGGGGGTAATAAAGGACTTCTCCAACCTGATGAGAAACCCCACCCAAGCAGTTTCTCAAAGAAGTAAGCGCTTATGAGTAACTGACTGGGCATGGGAAGAGGCAAACAGTAGCCGGTCATCCATGTAATGGTGAGTCCAAAGACCCAGTGAGTGATGATGACATGCAAAAGAGTGTACCACCCAACCAAAAATATTCAGAGCTGAAAAAATACCAAAACAGCAATGCCCGGAACTGGAAGACATAGCTCTTGTGGATGAACCGAAGAAAATAACATGACCCTGGACCAATTGGAATATGAAGATAGGCATCTTTCACAACAAACTTGGTTATCCAAAATCCCGTGGAAAACAACCCACTAAAGTGAGAGGTAGGTCTCCATGGTGAAGCGAGGAGTCTCCAGATCGGTATACAGCTGGGACAAATCTATGATTGGTCTCCAATCTCTCATGTTTTTTGGGAACAGCAAATAGACAGGAGTAAAATCCCGGTTGATCAGGCACCACCCGTTTATAGCTCCTTTGTGTAGGAGGCTCAAACAGACTCAGCAAGACAACTGGAGGAGATATTATCCCAAGTAGGAGGGAAGGAGATCTGAAAATTGGACACAGGGGGAGAGCAGAACTGAAGGCAGAAACCTTCAGATCGAACCCACAGAACTGTCATGAAGTGTTGCCAAAAAGACACAAACTAAACATACAAAGTCTACAAAGTACATAAAAATACAAACCTGCAAAACTATTAAATTCTAACTAAAACCTAAAACAATAAGCAACACCTAAAGTACAAAACCACTAAAGGAAGTTAGAAAAAAAAGACCCATAAATATCAAAGTTACAAGTTGACTCAAAGAACTAATAAGGCTATGGACACAAAAGTAAAACCTATCCTGAAAAACATGAGAATAAAAAGGCACCCAGTTAACAATAACTTAAATCTAATCTTTAATTAGACATGACTAGTAATAAAGAAAAAGGAACTTACAAACTAATTAACATAAACAGTAAAAAGAAGTATAAATAATGAACTAACATGCTGAAAAAGTTACCACAGATCTCTTGGGAAAAAGAACAATACCTAAATACATAAAATTGTAATGTGAAAGAAAGAAATCGTTGGGCCGAACGTAAGACACAAACTCTCCGCAAATTAAAGCCTGTGCCTCCCTAGCAGATATCATCAACCCTGAGACTTGTGTACTTATGTCAAAACCATTGCCTACTATCACGGGAAATTCGTCATCTGCCATATTAAATCTTGAATTCATATGAACAAATTAGAATTCAGAAAACAGAAATATTTCTAAAGCAAGACAGGAAGAAACAATGGAAATCAAACACAAGAAGTCAAAACTTGAAGTTGAAATTGATATAAATTAGTGATCAAGCACAATCAAATTTTTTTAGACACATGATGAGTAATTTAAAACACATGTCTATACATTAGAATGCCAATCAAGAAAGTGAGGATTGGTACAGAATAGTAGAAGGGGCTAGTTGTGCTAGTATGATTGGTGGAGGGTAGTCACATGATCAGCACATTCTGAAATGGCATGAAACTGGTGGGGTATAAAAGACTGATGTGCAGTTAGGGATACATTTTTTAGCAATGCTTAGAGAGGAAACCAAGATTGAGATAGCTTTGGGTGAGAGCAGGTAAGACCATTTCGGAATCTTGCTTTTATGAGCTGGGGTGAATAATAGTAAAACCAATATATACTATTACTGTTGAAATATGAAAGGCACAATCCACTGGTAATGAGTGAGGGGAACATATCCCTCCCATCCTTCATGTAATTTATGCTTATGAATATGTACTAAGATATATGAATAGAAATGGCTACCTTTAGCCACTGTCATTCTTTGGTTCACTGCCTCATAATGGCTTTTAAAAATCTTTTTTCCAATCATAGTTGTAAGCAATATGTTATAAATCACTAAGAATAGATATCTTCTTAGTATGCTTTTCACCCACACAGAAATGAAGAAAATTCGAAAAAAATCTAGCTTTGAAAGAGTAATGTCAGCATCAATCTCTCAGTAAGCCATGACTTGTTCTGTAGAGTTTTGTTTGAATGTCAGAGGTTGAACTATGAATTGCCCAATTTATTAGATAATACAATTATCTGTACCCGCTGTATCTAGTTTTAAGCAGATGGGTTAGTTATTTTAATTGAAAACCCATTGGATGTGTAAATATGTGTCAGAAAAACATGTAAATATGTGGTGATTACCGAAACTGATAGTTAAAATCCATGTGTTAATCTTTTTTGAGGGATGATTTTGGCAGTATGTTTGTTATGAAAAAGTTTTTCTCTTTTTAAAACTTCTCACACTTAAATTTTCATTGAGATCATGATATTTTGAAACTTTATTATGAGTTCTTTATGAATGTTCTAACATTCAAAGAGACATTGATAAAAAACAAAAACTGACATCTAACTAAAATTCTCAACTGACTGATTTATAGATAGACATTCAATCCACCAAACCTAAATGTAATCTATGAGAGTTAAGGTAACCATTTTGACAAAACAAAGTATCTGTGACAATTTTTTTCTATTACAGATTAAAAACTAAATAAAGTTTAGTGACAAATTTGCAATTAATACTTTGAATAATTATCAGCATTTATCATTGGACAATTCTACCTCATTAAAAGTAATTTTAATATTGATGAGTGTAAAACCAAAATAATAAATCATATTCAAACATCATAAAAACTGGTCCATCTTATAGTATTATTGCCTTCATTCATTCAATAAAACAAGACTATGTTTACTCACTCTTCCACTTAAAAAAAGAGATGAACTATTTTCATCATAAAATGGAATGAGTATTGCTGGACTGACATCTATTCCTTCTGTAGTTAGTGGTGACGAAAGGTCAGTACTGTCATAAACACTGATCTGTCTTTCAGAAATCCTGAAAACGTATATACATATATAATTATTGCAAAGATAATTGGCCTAGATAAATATTTTTACAATTATCAACGACTTAATATTATCCAAAATAACAAATAATAACTAAACCTGTCAATTTATTAATGCAACATTATGACCAACCCTCAGATATGATTTATGTGGCCGGGTAAGTGAATCTAATTTTATAATACAGTATAGTTTATGGAAGTCTCATTGATCTCAAGATTATTACTGAAACATAGAATATAAAATGTAATAATATAAGATCTCTCTCCTCTTAAGCAACTTAAAACATTTTACTGATTTGTTTTAATATAAATATGACAAGAATTAGTAATTATCAATCAAATGCAATGTAATTTTTTGCCTCAACATGGAAAGCTTTAAAAGAGAAAGGTAAAAATATAACATCCTATGTCATATTTTATTTTAATGAAAGAGTAACTGAAAATATGTTTTAATTACATATATTCAATTCCAATGAAACTACAAAAATAATATTCACCTCATATTTCAGAAGTTCACATAGAGGAAAAAGCATGATAGTCATATTCTCTTAATAATGCATGTGTTTAAACTAGGTTCTAACAAAGTTTAAAATTTTTTGTGTCAGCTTAACTGCGACATTGTTTTTTATTCTGACTTTTTATTCACTAAGTAAACTTTTTGTATATTTTAAATTTACTGAGATATTCATTGTCTAAACAATAAAATTAAATGCAAGTTCTATAATGATGTTTCTGTAACAAAAAAATTGATGAAAATAACATTCTTAACAAGAAAACATTGATACACTTCAGCATTTTTAAGTACATAGTGATAAACTCAATACATTCTTCTTTTCAACTTGGTTTTTTTTTATTTTGTTGCTGATTTTAGATATAAATTCTAGACAAAATAAGTGAAATTCTTTTCTTGCAAAATCGACTTTAATGCTTAATTTAGTGCATTCATATCAATATTATGTTGTTACTTGTATTATATTAAAGATATTTATTGTTTTTTCTAAACCTTTTCCAGACTAAGCAGGGGTCATGGACATTAAATTTTTTGCCTTCTCATGCTGAGAAAACTTAACTAAACTGCATGTTTGCAAACATTACATAACAATGTATAGTTTTGACTTTTAAAAAATTTATATAATTTGATTTACTTTTGTCTAATTTTTATGTTGTGAATCTCCCAAAATTTTGTAACTATACATATGCTTCTAAAAAAAACAATAAAAAATACTTCCATTCTCGTAGAACTTTATTTTATTATTATCATTATAACTGATAAGAAAGTTGCATTTTATATATCTGATCAGTTGCAACTTTCTCAATATTTCTTTTGCCAATTACAGTACTCATCACTTCCAGGTACAAATCATAAAAAACCTGGCAAAAACGTACAAACAGATTTACTGGTGACATATAAACTGGCCTGTCACATTAGCATCAGGTCAAGCTAAGTAACAATATTTTTGGTCAAGATCAATTTACTTCTAATAAATATAGTTTCTTTTGAATAAAGAACAAGTTCTTTTACTTATCTACATTGTTTAAATATGATCAACTTAACAATAATATTCAATACACAAGGAGTTGAGTCACATTTGAGTCATTGGAATATTTTGCCATCACCTACCATATACTCTAAACCTAACTAGGCTTAAGTTACCAAATGTCTTGTTAGATAAGAAAGTTTCCTTAGCTTTCAAAAATATAATTTAATTTAAAAAAATTTTCAGGAATGAAAAGACTATCTAATGAAACTATAAAAATTCTCAACTTTCCATTAAATTTCATTATTCTTCTACGCTGGAGTTACATCTAATCAGTTTCCTATGAAACCATAAATTACTTATCATAACACTTTATTCACTCTACATTGATGTAAATAGTTTATAAACTGCTCTATCCAATGGTATTTAAACTTTGTCTGTTGTTACTTCGAAAGTTAATCTTCATTAGTAGATTTTTCACATAACATGGTGCGAGATTGTAAAAGGGTATGAATGTGAGGCTGTGCTAATGATATCAGAGAAAGAGAATGAAAATCACATGAGAAATCCTGGAGAACTACAATCTTAACAGGTGATAGGTTCTCAGCAAAAATAAACTTATGCTTTGGGATTGGTAAAAAAATAAATCAATAAGTGAATTGTTTACAGGTGAAACGCCTGTAAGTTTGAATAATTTTCAATTTACACAAAATAAATGTTCAAATATGACAAATTATCAATTCTGAAATATTTTTTCATGAAAAAAGTTGTACATACAGATCTAGAATTGTTATTTTTATATAAAATTTGAAATTTGATATGCATGTGTGCACTTAACACCTGAAAGGTGTTCCCGAGTCTGGATACTGTTAGGTATATCCTTTGCAACCTATTATTGACTTTGGATTTAACATTTATAAAAATATAGTGCCTCACTTCTCTAACCCTAGTGAACTGGTAGGCTAGCAACCTACAACTCTCTTTCAAATGTCACTGAAATTCAGCTAAACTGACAACAACTCCTCTCTGCTTTTTTGTATCTTATACTTTAAAATGAAGTATATCATCTGACAGATATGTTTATAAGCACATACTCTAGTCTACAGAGAAAGAAAAAAAATTGATCTAAATGTTCAGATGGTTTGGGTATGGAATATTATATTATGTCATGACTAAGTAAAGTTACTTTTATTTAATTTACTCGATGAGCACAATATCACATATGACAATTCAGCTAGGATAATTTATAAAAAAAAGTTGATTAGTTAATGTGCAACATACAATATTATAATCTGTGGATGATGATATATTAAAACATTTAGTGTTAGGTAAATTAATGTATTTATGAAATCGGTTAAACCTACTTTTTCATAAAATGTTACAACTTTTTAATAAGAGAAAAGTGCAAATCCTAAAAATCTTAGCACATATAATGAACATTTCCAAAAATGTCATATACTATTTCACTGGTTTTGTTACTATGTAACATGGTGATTCACTAATATAAGCAAGTGTGCCTTTATTAGTATACACTTCTCTTGATCCTTTTATCTTGTAGTCCCAAAAGGATTCAATTTCTAGCATGTGAAGAAACCATTAATCAAGTCCTGTAAGAAAATGCTCTTGTTTCACAAGCCATAATACAATTAAAGGGTTATCCATCCTTAATTTTGAAGTGATAGAATAGAGGGAAGGTCAACACCACCAGCTACCAACTCATGGGCTACTCTAATCAAACAGTGGAATTTCATCATTATTCTTACATCACACCTATGGCCCCAATGTGCAAAGCAAAGATCGTGGAATTTCTGATCCAGTCTAGCATGCTAAACACTGGGCCACACTCCACCTTCCATCTCCAAATTACAAATATCAAAGCAATATTTATTTCCAAACTTGTATATATTGTTATTGATAAGGTCTTGAAATTGTTAAATTATGTATAATAAATGTAGTTTCATACTTGCTAAATCCAGACATGACCAGGTGTGATCCACCTAATGTCCAGACTACTCTGGCACCTCGACTTCCTTCTGGACCTGGTCCTTCCCGAATGGGTAATGAAGAGTTTCTAGGGTCATATATTCTGATCTTTTTGTCCTTGGCCACCGTAGCTAATAAACAACCATCTGGGCTCCATGCTAAACTGAAAATCTGAGACCAAAATAAGTTTGAAGTTGGCATATCTTTTTTATGCTTACAATTTAAAGAAATCAAAAACTGTCCATTTAACATCGGTTGTCAGATGATATACCATGCTAGAGAATAAAAAGAAGTTGAAAATAATTGAAAATTTCAGTTCCTACATACAACAAAGCAGGTTACCACCAGGTTGTAATTTTGAAATAATACAACATTTATAATTCAGGACACATTCTTACCTTTCACACTTCATATCCATATTTTTCATAAACAAGGTTTTCAAACATTCTATGTAAATACAGCTCTGCACAAAGCAAGCTATATTGTAATTCCTCATACACAATTAGCTAAGATTATAAATTGTTATACTACCAAAAGAAATTGAAACAATTCAAAATAAATTTAAATTTTAAATCCAAATTTTAAAAAATCAATATGTAATTATTCCAATTTTAAGCAATTGCTGAGAATTATTATCCATCAATTTATTAATCTTCTTTTAATTATAACTAGAAAAACATTAAAACTTTAATACCTGATCCTGGTGTCCTTCTAACTTGATTTTCTCCTCTTTTGTGACCAAGTCCCATATTTTGACAGACAGATCTTGACTAGCCGTGACCAACACATCTTTGGCACAAGGGTTAAAGTGAACCGAGTAAATTTTCTCGGAATGGGCTTGGAAATGTTCAGCTGGCTCCGACATACTCTCTTGGACTCCACCATCAGGAATAGTCCATATTTGAACATGGCCATCTTCACAGCCTGAGATTATAGGATATAATACTAAATACTGTAGAGAGATCAAGTTTATACAAATTTTTTGTTTCAACAGATATAGGCAGTAAAAAAAAAAAAAATCCTTAATACTTTATTCATTTATAATATCTATTAGGTAGAATAAAAATTTCCTTAAACAACCGTTTTTATGTTACCTATCTCTGGAACCTTTCTGAATTCTTAATCTTTTTATGTTCTAAAACTTTATATCTTAAGTATAATTGTTTTAATATGGATTGGTTGGAATGAAAAACTGCACAAAATGTTTAGATCTTTTTTATTTTTTTGTAGATATATTCAGTATTGGATGCACTAACAGCTTTAACCCTTTCCAGATGGATCACAGGCCATGTCATCACATTTGTTGACTCGCGTTCAAAATTTTATTGAACTACTATTTCATGACTTTATTCAATAAGTTTGGTATCAAACTGTAGATTATAATCCAAATTTAGTATTATATATATAATTAAATTTCTTAATTTAAAACTAAACATTAAAAAAACACAGTTGAACATCATTTTTTTGTGTGTCACGTGGTATGCTAAATGCAGCACTGGTTCAAATTAGATGTTTGTGATGTCAAAATACTAAGCCTATAGTTTCATACGAATTAGGAACTCAAATTACCAATATTGACAATCTAAAATATAAAATAAGAATATCTTAGCTTTTCTATTTGCTAAGATATCACTCATGTATTGAATCAAACATACTACCACCCCCCACCCCCTTTCTATTTTTGGAAATGCTCACTTATATACACTTACTTCTATATATTACACGAATAACCAAATGAAAGCTCAGAACATCCCCTTATTGCCTTTCTCAGCATTTTCATGTGTTAGGATGCCATGTCATTCTTTCAAACCAAAATTTTGAGGAGGTAGGTTGTGTCTTTAGGCTGCTCAAAATATCATATTTTTTTAGACCCAAATACAGCTTAGTTACTAAGCTTGATAAACTATAGTGGAATTCTATGGTATTGATATAGCAATTTAGTATTTTTTGGTTATTCAACTGTATATATACTTTTTTGTTTCATATCCTCCAGGTATGAAATTTTAAAAGGCTTGGGAACCTACATCAAGAAACAACCGAGTACAAAGTTCGTAACTAGAAGAGATAATTGTTTGCTTTACTTCTTTATTTTGTGTTCTATGTTTTAAGAAAAATAAGTTTAAGAACTTCTTTTAAATAAACTTCTTATTGCTTCTAAAAAGCAATGATCTATATACATACATAATGTATAATAATAGAAACGTGACTGTATTTTACAAGATACTAGTCTATGAAAACACAGCCAAGACAGGTCACTTTGTAAAGACCAAAGGTAAGTTATTGGATATGGTAACACGAGTGCACATGTGCCGTGTCATTGTGACTTCTGCATTGTTAGCCAGGCACGGCTGAAAGGTCAATATAATAAAAATAATAAATGTATAATGTAATGAGATTCAATCTATTTAGCCTAAACATCTATGTTTTCATGTTATAATTTGTTGTCATTCTAGAATGAAAGAAGCATAATTTATATTTATTTCCTAATTTTTGTATAGTGGTTACAAAGTCGATCAAATCTACTGAACCTGTACAGAGATTTGTTACTAAAAATAATAGATAAAATATAGTTTTTTATTAAGAAACATTTGATAACTATCTGAACATTATAAAGATTTTGCATGTGAAATTTGAAAATTTTCTATTGCATAAGTTTTTAATCTTAAAATGAAAATTACTTTGCATGTTGCCTATCCAACATGCAAAAAGAAAAAAGGCGTGAGAAAAACATTGCTTTACAAACCTTAAGACTTAATGAAAAAAATTTGATATTTTGCAAATGAAAGCATTGTAATCTTTACTGTTAATTTGTCAAATTTCGTTAACATATGCTTACTAATTTAAAAGTTATAGCATGAAAACTATAACAAGCACAAAATGGTTATAAGGTCAGTCCCACGGACTGAGACCATGCTGAAAGATTTAATTGAACTCTTCTGATAACCTACAATTGTTTATAAACTTGAAATGATTTGGGACACTGAAAAAGTAGGTGTTCATAGCATTTAGACACATCAAATATATCATTCAACACTTAACCTACATCAAAAACATGCATAAATAAAAATCCACTGATGGATCATTACTGAAGAAGACTCCCTCTAATATTTACAATGGTATGCTGATAAAGATACAAAACCTACTGACTATAAAGCTTGTTTCTATCAAATTCATTAGATGGATTGGAAGATTCTATAAAGTGGAAGCTAGACAAGCTTTGAATACCTGTTACAAGTCTATGGTGATCGAATGGATCCCAAGAAAAGTCCATGAGTCCACTTCCACACATCAAACTGGGAATGAGCCCAGCTTGAAGTCGTCCTCTGTTAGCTAACTGAAAAGCAAAAATCCATAGCACAGAATAAAATTTATGAATACAGAAAGAAATTTTCATTTTTTTAAAAAGTTTATCATGGACATTAATATAAATTTACAAAAATATACATTCATATGAATCACTTAATCACACCACACAATTTCGTTTCAGTCTTTCCTCAGAATCAGTGTTTTTGTTAAAATATTCTATTTTCTTTATCTCTCAGTCTTGCTTTACCTAATAACAGCATATTCACTCTTTTAGCTTAACTTTTCAGATGTAAATGTAAAAATATTTAAATAACTTTATAAACCGTCTTGCTTACTTCAAACACAGCAATGTTTCCTCCACAGCCTCCTAATGGAACGGCAACACGTTCAATATTAGCATCAAATCCATTGCTTTCACCTGGTATGCTCTTGCTCATGTTAGTAAGGTTGGTAATGTGAGTTTCTTTGGGATGAATAGTTCCATTCAAGTGCCGAAATTTTGAGACTCTTACTGATTCCAAAAAAAAAGCAACATTTTTAGATTATACTTACACAATATATTATTTACAACTCATACAAAAGGATTCAATATTATGTGAAAGTACATTCCACATGAAAACATTTACAAGATATCTCCCATTAACCCTATGTGCATGAGCGGGGGTCAAAATGCATAAGCCATGACCTTTTCAGAATGACTTTCAACATGGTATTATGTACTTGAGATTAGAGTTATCAACTATTCATGTTACCCTACATTACTAATTTAGGCAGTCTGTGGTAGAGTAAATACCAGATACAATATATAGATATTAAAAAAATCTAAGTCTCCATTTCAGAGGTTCTAGAGATTATGCAAACTGTACGATGGACAAAAGTATTTTTATTTTTCACATGAACCTCATCTTGCATTCCAACTTGTCAGAGTCTAAGTAAGACTGACCTCATCAATTAAGATACATCTTAAGTACAAAAACCTATGTAATTAATCTGGTTTTTTGCATACAACAAGCTTGTACATTTTACTGAAACTTGCCAAATTTTGTGTAGATACACATAGTAAATTCAGAAGTACAGTCAATACTCCTTCTTCAGTATGGGGTCAGTCCAATGGCCAATGGACTAAGTCTGTGCACATTCAGTTAATGAAATGCATAAAAGAAGTATCCAGTATTTTGAATAATATTTAGTTTTGTTTTAAAAGAAAAAATTAAAAGCATAAAACAACTTAACATATCACAACTTGCCACAGTTCACTTGAAATATTTTGGTCCCATCGCTAGATGTTTCTAGATGAACTCTCTTAAACTTTATCTTATGTTTTCCCTGTTTCACCTTTTATCCAAGATAAAAATTTTATCATACCTCCCACCAAAGATAATCCAACAATATACATCTTCCAGATAAGAGCATTTAAAATATTTTTTGCTACATAATGACAATGCAGTGATACATATTTTAAATGTTAGAACATTTAACATATTTTTCCCATATAATGATAATTAAACATTATACAACTTCCATACATGAATATATAATGTTACTTCTATAAACTGATGATCGAATAATACAAGTATATGATCATGTCTTCTATTGCTCACTTTCTTTCCACATGAATGTTTGAAAATGCTTTCTGTATGTGACCACTTCACAACTCTTACTTCATAATTCAACAATTTATATATTCTACAGATAAACATTTAACATGCATCTTCTACATAAAGATATACCTACAAAATGTATCTTCTACATATGTATATGAATGTTTAAAATAATAATAAAATAATTTTAGAAACCATACTTTTGCACTTGAACATGTAAAATATTTTTGTCTATAATATTAATTTAACAATACTTGCCTTCCAAAAACATTTATGATTTATCTTCTATAATATGATAATTTAACAATATATATAACTTCCATGCATGATATTTAAAACATGTTACACATAGTTCAAGAACATGTATATAAAAACTAACAGCATGTTCCTCTCATGTAAGAGCACCGATTTATTTATATGCACCTTCTACTTACAGAAATACAGCAACATACACCTTCGATATAAACACATTCAAAATAAAATAGCTCATATGAGAAACAGTGTGCCTTCATACAAATACTTTCAAAAAATAAATTATCCTAGGTACAGTGTACTTTTTTAAACATCATGAATTCAACTATAAAATGACTATTCTCCTCTGGTTACAGACTCATGGTAAATGTTTACCAAAGATAACAGGCATACATTTTGCAATACTTATCTAAAATATTTTGAGCCCAAAACAATAAATCTGAATTTTATATCCACATACCAGCAAATTTTCTACCTGGCCTTGGCCTCTCATGCTGGTTAGGTTCTGTTGATATCTCATTTTGAGGTTGTCCTGTTGTCATTTGGTTCTGGTGGGGCTCTCGTGATATCTGATTGTTATTGTTGTTCATTTGTGCCTTTTCAGCATTGAAATGAATATTACTACTGATATTTGTCACTAAATTTTGAGCCCCATTCAAAGAAGAAGGCAAAAGAGCAGGCTTAGGTGCTAGAAGAGGCTATTGATAAAATTCAACAGTAAATTTAGTCTAGTAAGGTAGTTAACAAGTACAACTTTTCATTGTAATACATTTTTACTCACTCTTATGGAAATTTTAACTAGAGAAAGGGATTAAAAATTTCTATGCAATTGAATCAGTTTTCAGGTTCTACTTTTTCAAAGTCACATGCTATTTCATTCACCTCTATTCTATAAATAACTACTTTTTGATGTATTCATTTAAAAGCTAGGAGAAATATATTAAAAATCCAGACACTAATTATCAAAGATTCAAATTTTTGTTACAACTATCACTGAAGTAACAACAATATTAAGATCATAAGTGTATTTTGGTCAAATTCATCAAATCAGAGGAAACAAAAATGAGCAATTACTTCTTGCTATAAGTGGTACAGCCAATAAATACTTGAAGGAAATATTATATATATTATAATATATAATATTTATATATATATATATATTTATTTATTTATTATTTGCATACTTTACTTTGTCAAATTTTCTTATCTGCATGAAAGCTTTCCACTTTTGTCTCTTCATAATTGGGAAAAAAACAGTATATGTATGTTTATACAAACACACAAAGAACTGCTAACACCTACAGTCATAATAAAGTTAAGGCACAGTGAAACCATGTCCAGCTTCACCTTCCACTAACATCATAATATGTTTAGGTCCATACACACCTGGCACCTGATGAACATTTTGTTAAATACTTTCCTGACCACTAATATGCATTTATTTACAAACCTTCTTAAGAACAGATGGCTTCTGAAGTGATGTTTTTGAAGATTTTTCTTTTTTCTCAATAAATTCTGGATCCTGTGATTCTAAATCTTCATCCATCTTAGACAGAATAGTTTTAGTGGGTCCTGACCCCAGTACATGATTAAACTTCAGTAAACCATTATTTGGCCATTTTCTTGGATTTAAGCTTATCTTTGAGACCTACATGCAAAAAATCAGAACTTTTGACAGCCAATTTGTAAATATAAATATCTCTTTAACCAAAAAATACATGCCCATGAAATAAAACACATAACACAAGCCTGCGAATTTAAACTTCATAAATGTTGTTTTGGTTTTAATAATGGATTTTCCATAATTCAGCTACTCAGATTTCAAAAATAATATTTTTTTCTAGTACGTATGGATTTTTTTTACAAATCAGGAAGAAAAAAAACTCTTACTTAGATCCAATCATTATTTCGTTTACCACAATGAAAATTTTTCATTGTTATGTTTTTTAACAAAAATACAAACAAACTAAAGAAAAGGGAAGAATATTGATGTCAAACAAATATGCATCCTGATTTTTTTTTGTGAATTCTACGTCGTCCTTTAGTCTCAAAACTACATGTTGTGGTCTTTCTTTTATGTATTGCATTATGACATTTTGTGAAAAATCTGTATGTGATGGAGAAAAATGGATATGATTTTTGGATTCAACATACAGGAATTACCATAGAACATGTAAACATTTCAAGACAATAAAACCATTGCAGGCCTGTGTAATTAATAAAGGAATAATTTGTGCTTTGAAATTCATTAATTAAAGAAAATATTAAACTACTCAATGTTTATTTTTGCTGTTAGACATTCTGTACCATTCTTTAGTTGCAATATCTTTGAACAATGTAAAATTAATTACATTAACAATTAAAATGTTGTTGACGGTTAATCTAACTACATCTAAAGCATATAGTACATCTTAAAATACTTAATATTGCCACAGAACCCCAGCACTCTTGAAACACATTTTGGGAGACTGCAGACGATTTTAAAAAGTTCTCTTTAACCCTACCACCTCATGATAATAAATAAAAGAACTGTAAAAATAACGATTGAAAAATTAATAAAACTTTAAATTACAAAACCTCACCTGCAAGAGGCGTTTCATGTTAAAATGTTGTGATTGTTACTTATTGTCACGATTATACTCATAACACAGCAATTTGTAAAAATTCATTGTTCAAGTACTTTGGAAATAATTTGCTTGAAATGCATAGTTTAAATAAGTGCAATTAAAAATGTTATACAAGTTAAAAAATGAAAACTGCTACATGTAATAAACAAAGTTAGTTGCAATATGCTTCAATAACAAATGGTATATTTACACAGATATATAATCATTAAATCATTACATTCAAAGATAATGTCTGGAAGTTAAAATTCAGATGACACTGCTTTCTTGTAGTTCATTTATAATTTGGAAAATACAGCTTTCCTACTGTATTGGTATAACGTAGTATAACCATGTAGAAAGATATAAAAGGATTTACAGTTACGTTTAGACAAAATTTCAAAGATTAAGAATTTTTAAACTTATATGAACATATATATATCATATGTTTAATATTTTTTAGTGTGATGGATGATCTACTACTTGCTACAGCTGTTGAAGTTTAGAAAATTAGTGTCAATAGCAAGCCTTGTTCAAAAATACAGATAAAGGAACAGCAGTAAATATAATAATAATTTAGATCATATGATTAAAATAGTGCAATTTTTAGTTCAAACAAAATTTATTTGGGGCTTAGTTGAAAACACTGGGTAAGCATAGCCCAGTGTTTAGCATATTAGACTGTGGCTATCAGGAGTTCTGTAGTTTACACCTTTTACCATCGAGAAAAAATCATGATCCACAATTTGGAGCCATAGGCACATTATAAGAATGATGTCCAAACATAACTATTTGATTAAAGTGGCCCACAAGCTGGCAGTGGGTGGTGTTGACTGGCTACCTTCCCTCTGGTCTCTCACTTCAAAATTAGGGATGTCTAGCACAGATATCCCTCAAGTAGCCTTGCATGAAATTCAACAAACACAAACAATGTAAGAACAAATTATAGTTAAGGGTTGGATAAACGTGACTAAATCCTACCATGTCATTACTTCCCATCATCCATTCATCAAGGGTTAGGCTTGGCTCAGTTCCTGCAGTATCTGGAAACAACTCTTCATGATAATCTCTGTAAGACTGGAGATTAAAGCACAGCATGGAAAAATTGTTTTATAGCTTTAAAAGTTACAAAATATTAAATATTTTGAAATTCCAAAAACAACTTAAATTGAAAAGATAGAACTAGACACAAAGAAGCTCACCTCAAGAACTATACAATTGCAAGTAAAACATACATTAGTTAATAAAAAAACTTCAACCTAAAACTATGTCATTATAGCTGAAAGCTCTACACTGATAGATTACCTGAAGTATACAAAATTGCAGTTAAAAATTTACATAATACGATTAAAGAACCTTAAAAAATTATACAAATAATGCTGGAAATTTAAGCAATATAACAATAAGAGATAGGAATTTATACATGAAATAATTCATTGCAACAAAATTTGACAGTGACAGTAAAAGCAATTAAAAATTAAATTACAGATATTAGACATATAAACTTAATAACTATACTAAAACATTAAATGTACAATACTGTATAAACATGAACTGGATATTTAGTTTCTTGTCTAAATTACACTACCTTAAAACTATGGTTACAATAAATTTTTCAACTAATACAAAAGAAAAGTATAGCACTCAATATCCAGATAGCGGTAAACTTCATTAGGCACAACAGTTAGAGTGGTGCCATATACATAAAAGATCATATTACACTACAGCATGGCAAGTACTGTGGAAGTTACTAAACATTATGACAGTGATTCTTAAACTTTCTAAACATATAACTCAAGTGAGACCAGGCTATTTTCTGGGACCCATGGTCAAATGAAGAGAGTAAGTTTCTAGTAATGCTCTTATATTTTGTGTTAATATTTTGTTCATTTAAAAGCATTTTATGATTATTTTATAAATAATTTTCAAATAAAATATGTTTATGTTCTACTGTGTCTTGTTCTATAAACCACTCCAATACCACTTACATCCCGTCACTGGGTTATGACACACTGTTTCAGAATTGCTGCATTATAAAATCACATCACACTCAAAATTAAATGTGGTAATGTATACATTAAAATAAAACTAACAGGAGAAAAACTACATAATAACATTACATTACAATTATGTAGTATTGCACTAAATAACTTTTATTTAATTGAATAATGCACCAAAGAACATAGAATAATAACATGCAAAAATCAGACAATGTCCCATAGTGATTATAATTTTTCTGGCTTTCTAACTATGTTGCAAGATCCGTTACAAATTCATCCAAGCTAGTCGATATGTTTCCCATGAGAATGAAGCTTGTACTAAAACAGAAATTGACAATTCTCTGTTCAGAAAAAAATATAATATAATACATCATTTGATAGATGAAAAACTTGCTTTTCTATTGGTTATAAATAATATAGAAGAGAGAAGTATTAACAAATCCTGAAAGAGAAGATGTGACAGATGGTTGTGGCAAGAGGGGTCTAATTTTCTATTTGATGGCTCTGTAACAAAAAAAAATTGAAGGCTATAAAAGTATGCTTATAAAATTAAGAACTTAAAACTTGAATGTTATTAAAATATTGATTATTAGCTATAAATTTATGCCACAGTAATGGGTATAACATAAACAAAAAGTGGTTTAATTTAAATTTAATGTAGGTCACTAAATACCTTGTGACATGCACAGTAAAGGATGCATATAGGGTTAAATGAGTATGAAAAATATAACACCTCATCTTTAAAGAAACAGTACTGCTCACTTGTTCTATTGAAAAAAAAGAAAAGAATCTGACCTTCACATTTTGAATAGTAATTTTGAGGAAAAACTTATTATTACTTTTCGAGGAACTTGAAAGCTAACAGGAACAACACAGTCAGGACCAAGAAGCAAGACTCGATTGACTTCTGCCTGCATAACTTCTAAAGCTCTTTTGGGCACAAGTGCTGCTCCTTTGGTTTGGACATCACCAACATATCTGATACCTATTATAGATTGGTTAATTTTCATGTAAAAATTAGTAACTTATAAGCAGTCCAACATAAATTTTCCCTCTTTTACAAACACATGCCCATTTACTTCTATAAAACTGTAACAGAAAAAAAAAAGTGTTAATTTCTTCAATATATACCATAACTATGTTATCAACTGTAAACTCTGATTTATTAGATTGTAAAAGATCCCTATGTACACTCACATCTAGCTTTGCTGTCCTTTAGTTAAGTAACAATATAAGAAAACTATCTAGCCCTTGGTTTTAAACCTTTGATCTGCAGACCTCTTGGGGTCCATAAGCATTCTAAAGGGAGTCTAGACAGTAAAGATCAAGTTTCCATATTAAAAACAAAGAAATGATCCTATGTTTGACAAAGAGAACAAAAAAGGTTGAGAATCACTGACCTAAGCTAACAAGATGAGATCCATTGGTTGGTAACAGATGAAATATTAAATCACAATAAAAAAACTGACAAATAAAAGAGTGTAAGGTATTAAGCCAACTACATTTTATCTCTTGTATATTTATGAACTTAAAACATCAGCCTCGTTTCAGTGCAATATCATACCATCTACAATTACTGTGTATGGAGTTCCGTTGAAAAAAAAAATAACAATCATTTGATTTAGGTATTAAAAAATGTAATTTTTCTTCTAGATTATCAAAAATTGAGATGGTCAAGAAAACCTTTGCATTAACTGCTTTGCTCAAACATTGTTGGATTGGAAACTGACTATTATTCTGATAACTGAACAACATTTATTAATACAAACAAACAACAGAAAAAAAGGTTAATATTTTTACCTTCATTGAAGTATGGTTCCTTGTTGTTGATCTCCCAGAACATCAAACATGTGTCGGCCTATAAGATGTAACAAAGGAATAGAGTAAATTATTTCTATTTTTGTTTGTTTTAGATGTATAGTCCTTTTCTCACCATTAATTATTTAATATACTTTACCTGATTACATGCAACATACAATCATAATTAATAATCCATTACTGTTCAGTGAACTAACTATAATACTAGTTAATTAATTGTGATAGTATGTCACATGTTATCCAGACACCTAAAGTATTTTAGGTTATTAGTTGTGAGTAAAAGACTACACATCAAAACCAAACATATCACTTACATTCCACCATTATATAAGGCCTTCTTTATTTATCTACTTTGCTCTTCTAAGTAGCACAGATGAACCATGAATTCAGTGAAACAAGTCTGTTGTAGCAGGAGTAGCAAAGCATAAGATACATTAGAACTCCATGTCATCTTTTCTTTACCAAAAAAAATCATTTATCTTGATAAGCTAAAAAACCTTTATATGATTTTCAAATTTCATGGTTATAAACTACACACAATTAAATGTTGTAAAAACAGACAGTTGCCTGATGAACAGGTAAATTGATATCTGATCACCAGTTCAAAGCCCCTAGTAAGTTATTTTTTAAACTTTTCAAAGTAAAAGCTAAAAGATACAAAAATAACTATTGAAATATGTATTTAAACAAATTAGTTTTCCAATGTCTTGTTCTGTCACATTTTTTTTATTATCAACACAGAAAATAGCCAGCAAGACATGAATTTATTTGTAGTTTGGTGTATGTATGCTTGTTTATTTTAATATCATGCACTATACTGTTATTCATTCTAAGTATTGGGGGTTACTTATCTTTGACAATTTTATGAAAAGTCATGATACACTGCTAGTACCTACTCTGAACTGTTCACCAGAGTCCATGCAAGTTAAACATGCAAGATGAACAGGGTTAAAGGAAAACTGTTAGCATAAAATTCTCATAATATTTTGTGATTATAATATTATACAGTTTATTCTGGACTTGTTCCCAAAACCACCTAACTTGAAATAATGCAATGTAAAAGCAACATAATAATCCAATAAACTCCAAATTTAAAATATACCCCATTTATTTTTCTGAGTATTAGGAATTCATCTCTGTGAACTTCCACATGTTGCCTTGAAATACCCTTTTATCACATTCCTGCAGAAATAAACTACAACACACAGAGTCAACTGAAATCATATTTAATTACAGAAGTACTACAATTATAGTCATCCTCCTTACAGTACCTGACACATCTAAGTGCATGTTTTAAATAACAAGTGATATTTTAGAAATTGGCATATTATGCACTATATAAGTAAACTCGGCAAAACTTACCTTAGCAGTCAAGAAAAGCATGTTTGTATCTGGGTCAAAAAGTGGGATGAGGACACTGGAAACAAAACAATAATATTGTATTAGCAATAAGGTGTTTAATTAGTATTTAAAAAATCTAAATAAAACGTATACAGGCGAGTTACATTGGTGGCAGTATTAGGCAATAAAAATCAAAATATTTATACTGTAAATGAAATTATCCATTTGATTTAAAACTGCTGATAAACCTTAGATAATGCTTCCTGAAATTCTGAGCATTTAGAGAAAAGCAACTTATAAAACAACATAATAACCATCTAGTAACAACCACCTTAAAAATTTTACCCTAGTGAAGATTCCCCAGAGTATGATGCAACCGGGTTACTAAAATTTCTTACATCTCGCAGCATTACTTCTCGTTCTCGAGCCTGTAAAACGAATTTCACAAATTAAATAAAAATTTTTAAGTATAATTTAATTCTAGAGAATCAGTTAGTAAAGCATAAAGGTTTATCACTTCAAACACTCTTGGAGTAAAATTATTTAATCGAATCAGCAAATAACTTAATGACTAATTCCACTATCACTCTCTTTTTATTTTAATTTTCTAAGATAAAATCCAATTTACAAAAAAAAAAAAATTGCATTAATTAAAAATAGTTAGATAATGAAACAAATGTTTAAAAATGATGTATACAATGAATATTTTGCATTTTGTTGAAGTGTTATAATTTAGTGTGAGGGAGGTACATGTTAAAAGAAAACAAGATAAAAATAAGTATACTTGACTTTCCAGAAATACATATCTAAACAACTTGTATCAAACACAAATTTATGTTCATTAAAAACAATTATATATTTATACTTACACTACCAAAACCTGTAGATAGTACTTGGTCACTATTTCCAAGCCACAAAACCCTTGAATCCCTGTTGTTGGAGTGACTTTTGGTTTCCTAAGAGGAGTAAAATCATTGATATATATATATCATTAAAATATTCCTAATCAAGTAAAAATATTTTCACACATTCAACAAAATTAGAATCACAACTTGACTGTATGTGTAAAATAGGAGACCAATTTTCATCATGAGGTTTGAATGGAAGAATATTGTCCAGCAAAATAACTAATTATAAAATAGCATTAGTTTAAAATTCACTATACGTGCAAAAAAAAATAATAATAATGTACATTTACACACACATCTTCTATAATATTTAGTACATCAGAATATTTAAACCTAGATGATTAATGTACATGTTATGCTAGTGTAACTGCTTTTATTAAACATTTATTCACTGTTTTTGTTTTGTACATCCTATTGATTATAAAACAGTTCCTCTATTTAACAAGTATAATGTGATAGTTAGAGTTTTAATATCCTAGACTAAGAAAACTAATCATTTAACTATTTGTGATTAAATTATTTATAAAAATACACACACACACAAGAACATGAAATATGAAGTCAGAATCTACTAATCACTCACTTGGGTGACTACTTTAGTTCTAGGATCCAAAATTCGAAGTTTCTTGTCTCTTGCCGAGCTTACCAACAAACTTCCATCTCCCTTCCAGTGTAGACTCTGAACCAAGTTGTCATGATCTGTGTTGGCTATTTAAGTAAACAGTTCATTTTACACTTCACCAGGAATTTTTGATATCAAAAAAATCATACCTTCTTTATTCTAGTGGCTATTATACTGACACTTAATTTTCAGTACAAAAAATTAAAGAATATACATTTCTTCTGGTGATCACAGGTCATTTACTTTAATGGTTTGTTATGAATATGTATTAGAGTACTTAGTTATTAAACTGAAAATCAAAATAACACTAACCATAGATTTCTGTATTCTTGCTGATATCCCAAATTCTGACTGTTTTATCAACTGACATTGTCAGAAGGCAGTCAACTGTAGGATGAAAGAGAACAACTTCAACACGATGGTCAAATGGGTCCAACATTATTTCAGGATTACAAGGTACTGAGGTAGATAGCCCATCACAGGGGATTCTCCAAACCTTTACCTTATAGGAACGTAAAAGAATAAACAGCATGAATTACTACTACTATATCTACAGTAGTGCTTCTAAATATGGAGCACTTTATATAAAATATCCCATAGCTCAACTCTTATGCACAGATCAGCAAGCATTACATTCAGTAACAAAAAATAAACTAAAGAAAGCATAATTACAACCAAATTTTAACAAATTGTTAAAACTATTAAACTATAGGGTGGAATGAAGCTACACTTAAAAATTCATCATCATCATCAATAAAAAATGATTTATTTGACTACCACAAAAACAATTACAAATTAGATGCTGGCATGGGTATAGAATCCGCACCCAAGTTCATGGTGTAAAAAATACTCAAGAACTTTGGTCCTGTTTGGGTTACCAAAAACAGTAATACAACTTTCATTAACTTGATCACAAATATTAATTTTTAAGTACATAATACATAGTTAAATACAGTAGTCACCTCCATTATTATTGTGGTGTAACTGTCACTGTGTCTTATGTTTGTTTTTTTATAAAACCTCAATATCTATTCATTTAAGAAGTTCCATTATTAACCTCTAAGACTCAAGTCAATTACACTGATGCACCTGAAGTGTTGTTTGTCTTACTGCATTTCAAAGGCAACTACTGTACAGAATACTTTGACACTTGAAAAATAAAACTTAGAAAGATTATGTAGCTTCTGCAAATAAAATCTTATTTTTATATGTGATATTTATATGGATTTGCAGCATTCAAACTTTGAAAAGCTTTCACTACGATTTGTTTTTCTATTTAAGAAATAATTAAAGTCTTTATATTTGTTGTAGATTTTAATTTCATTCTACTTTACTTTAAACTTTCCTATTAAGATTTTATTTTATAAAACTATAAATTTTATCTTTGTTTTGTTTCAAAGAACATCATACGTAGTTTCACTGTTTACTGGTGTATAATAAAAAAAAATTTTTTTTTGTATACCAAACTTATAAGCAAGATTACTTTTTAAATAGCTAATCAGAAGATTTCATTTAGCATATGTAATAGGATTTCAACCTATTTTATATTAATTTATATAATTTCTTTTAACATTTGTTTTTGGTAACTTTCTTTGCCCATTCAATCAGTTACTTAAGCCAATCAGATTTATGTAACCAAGACCTAACTTTATACAGTTGAGTAAAATAACTTAATTACACCTACCTCATCTTGTTCCATGAAAAATATTTCCTATCATACTATAACATCATAATTCAAATGAAGTATATAATGACAAGCTTTTAAAAACCTGGACTGTAATTGTAGCAGTTGTTGTTCCCAAACAATTCTTCTAGCAATATATCACCAAGCTAAGCATAATACCTTTGAACAAAGTCACACATGACCCTGTAACTTGAATATAACAACTTGAATTGTTGTTTTTTTAACCTTATTGCCATAGTGTAGTGTGATTGCCTGTATTTCATCTTCGTGAAGTCATTAGCAAGTGAACTAAAAATGTTTAAAAAGCCTTTATATTTTATTCTTTTCAACTGTTTAAGTCGATGTGGCTTTCAGCTCAGCAGATATTCATGTAAAGATCATGAGAAACTGATAAAAGGCTGTATTATACTCAGAAAAAATTCAGGAAATTCACAAAACTAATGAACTAATGATTTTGTTTAGAATGTGCTGAAAATCAACTCAAAATCAAACTATTTTACTGTATAAATTTCACCCCCAAAGTATTTATTTTCTTTTGACCTGTGGAACAATGATTAATATGAATTTTCTATAGTGTTTTCCAATCAATGGTGCAATTTGCCCTCAAGGCAGAATGCAAGCACTACCATAATGTTGTTTATTGATGATGGAATTTTTCTTAATTTAAATGCAGTTGCTGATACTGTGAAAGTACTGTAGCTTCTTCACTGTTGGTAATTGTATTTAATTTTAAAAAGACATAGTTTAGTAGTTAAATTGTACTTACACATACACTGTGACATAGGCTTTCAAGTTGGTCAACTGAATAAATGGGCTATGTTGTAATATAAGTTCTGGTAATATGAAAAATATAAAAAACTACAGAAAAAAAAACATGCTCACTAATATATTATCTTTAAGGTAGACACAGATAATCACAGAAGCTTCTAAGAATTTTAATCATTGAAAAGAAACACTAGAAAAATGTGTACATATACTTACATGGCAGTCTTCAGATGCTGTGGCAAGAATAGCATCATCAAATGGTGAGAAATCAAAATCTGTTACAAGCCCTATAAGAATATTGAGGCTTGTTTTTAGTTTTAAACAAAAACTTTGTGACCAAAGATATAATATATGAAACATCGATCCTGAATAGCACAAAATCTTTAAATTAACTCTTTAATTTATAGTTTTTTCTTTGATAAAAACACAAAACCTGCCACCAATCAAATAGTAATAATGCAGAATGGGCTGCTTCCACTATGTGCCTTTTTTATATGTACATCAGAACCAAATGATGTTCTGTGGGCCTAGCACAGCTATATTCCTAATAGCCATTGACAGTATTGACACTGATAAACATAAATTTTATTGGACATTGATGAAACAATTACATATAGTAAATAAAAAGGTTTAAGTTAAAATTTATGGTCTTAATGTGGAAACATCAATAATTTGGGTTTAACAATAAAAATTTTCTATCCACTTAGTATGTCTTTACTACTGAACAACCATTTTTACATACAATGCTTACTTAATTCTAGTGTTCATTGATATAATATTTACTTTTGAGTGTACATGTACAGACTTGTATCCAATGAATAGTAAACAATACAATATTTACCTTTTGACTGTATCAGTGCATACATATATCCAATGGGCAGTAACATAATTAAATATTTATCTTTCACTGTATCAGTTCACACATATATTCACTGAATATAAACACAATAATATATTTACCTTTGACTGTATCAGTGCATACATATATCCAATGGGCAGTAACATAATTAAATATTTATCTTTCACTGTATCAGTTTACCCATATATTCACCGAATATAAACACAATAATATATTTACCTTTGACTGTAACAGAGCATGTTTATATCAAATGAACAATAACACAAGGAGATATTTACTATATCAGTGCAATTTCCTAGTGAGAAAGCATCACAAATGCAATTACCACACTACTTGGCAAACTGTATTTTCAAAATAAAAGAAAGTTACACATTAGTGTTTTAACAGTAAAAATAAAACAAAAAACTACATCACCTGCATGAGCATGTAAAGTTGGAAGACTTCCTCTCATTCGACCATGATCATTTAAAGGTAACACCCCCAAGCCACTTCCTCCTTTAGACACAAAAACAAAATTTGTAAACAGTAATGAAATAATTTCTGATGAATGATCACTTCTAACAAAATAAAATAAAAAAGTATGTAATTTCAAGTTCATCCAAATTTGGTATTTAATACAAATGTAAGAACTTTTGATGTCCTTGATGTTAAAAGAAATGGTAATAACATATAAAACTTTCAACAAAAGTAAAACATTTAAACACTTTGTACAAATTTGAGTGAATGCATTCAAATCAAGTTAATAATATGTTATTTTCTTGAAGCTGAAATAAACAATGTTATTTGTACTTCTCATAAAATAATGTTGTGCAACAAATGAAATTCTATAGTGAGGTGAACCAAAGTATGTTCATACTAGTATCCAAGAAAGACTAAGGTATTTACTTTGTGTGAATTGCACAATCATTGCATCATGTGACATAGTAATGACATTTCCTCTATATGACATTCAACTAGGTTGCACAAGAGATAAAATATCTTTCTTAAAATGTAACAATCTTATGCACCAATAAGTGATTTGTTTTAGGATTAAGATGCTTCTATAATGCTTATTATAAGGTGTTATAAATTAAAATTATTAATGAATTCAACCTCAGTTAGATGAAGTTGCATGAAGGCAAGGTAGGAATTTGGATAAAGGAAAAAAGTTAGCTAAAGAGAAGATAAACAAAGTGTAAAATGTATCCAAACATTGGTCAAAAAAATATTGTTCTTGTAAGAAGGGATAAACTTTTGAAAAATCTTTAACTTCACTATGACAACTAAAAAGAAATCCTATACCAAAACTGTTTTTGAAGTTTTGAGAAATACTCAGGTTACCTCCTCCAATATGTAAAAATAGCAACATTAACAATGTTTAAAATTTTCCCCAAAATTATTTTGTTACAATTCACTTATAATTTGTTGCAAAAGAAGGGTCTTGATTATTTTTACTGCTGTACAAAATATTTACAAAATCATGTTGCTTATCATATTTTATTCAGTTATCAAATATTAGATATAATTATTTTTTATCTAAATGCTATTAGTGCTTCATTCATGCACTTGGGGCACCTGACAAAAAAAACAGATATCCACTGGTTCAGACTTCATTGGCCATTGAACAAAAAAAAATAATTGTTTTTAGCTTTTGGGCAAAACAACTAGCCACTAAATCTTTTTTGTTTATAATCTAATATTTCCAGCCCCTTGCTTCATGGAATAGTGGAGTGTAGGTTTGTATTTAAAGTATGAATTATTTTGTTGTAAAAAAACTGGTTAGTAGTTAAAAAGACCCATTTTCTTTTGCTTATGAAATGTCCCAGTTCTTTAAATCTGATCATTACATAAATCTAGTTTTGACTTTTAACATCAAATTACTTTTCTCAAATATCCTAAACATCCTATTTGAAGTAACTATCTTCTAATGATAATGACTTAGACATTGACTACAACTGACAACAGCTACTTAAACTAGCTTTTAGAGAAAATAATTTATCCTCACTGTCAAACTTTATAGATAAATGGTGTGGTGATAAAAAACCTCTAGGGGCAACCCTTACCAACATGTTCAATATGAATCTGTGAAGAGATAGGTGTCCTGCAGAATTCAACAAAATAATTCTTGCAGAGTAAATAGGAACTTGGATTTCACAGAGGTTAAATCAAGGGTTAACTTTGTTTTACATTTCAACTTTGGGATACTCTCCATTACTACATTTCATTTTTCCTCTAACCAAAGTTACAGGAGGAAGAAACTGCACCTGCAGTTTTATCATTAGCTGTTATTTTGTGTATTATGTGTACAAGTACACATAAAAACCAAACACTTCCAAAAACAATATTCCATCAAATAAAAATTATTTAAATTTGTTCCATCACATAAAAGTATTCAATATAACGAAAGTACAACCATTTTATTGTCAATAAAGTGGCTTTGATATGAAAGGAAAATTGCATTCAATTAAATATATTTTATTTCTCTGATAGGAATCAGAACATTTTCAAAGACAGATTAAAACTTTACAATGAAACTCTTAAGGAAAAATTTTATTTTTTAACCTACCTGAACGTAAAATATAGATATATGAATAACACCGTATGTATAGTATTGCTCAAATAAACAGCCATGGATACTTACAAAAATAGTTTCACAGACATGAGTGAAAATATCAAGTAATTGCAACTCCCATCCTAAAGTATGGATTCAATATCAGATTCCATTACCTCAATATAATCATTCTATTAGAACAGAAAACAGTGATACTCCATCTTACCTCCTGAATCAATATTAAATGCCATAAATGCAGCACTGGATTTGATGTGGTTGCCAAAAGATTGTGGTGAACCAACAGTCAGATCAAGAACCCAACCCTTTATATGCACAGAAAGAAAGCAAACTAATGACTTATTCAGATTAGCAACAGAAAGTTTCTTATATTAAGTCATATTCCTAGAATATGTATTTCTCTTATATTAACTAACAATAAATATATAATGAATATTGGCCTTAGAGATTTTCTTAATCTATGAAAACAGTACACAAGAAAAATATAATATTTAACTGAAAAATACTAAGTACAACCATTATAAAATATACTTTTGCTTACCTCCCCCCTCTTTGGAACTTTGGGTGTAGCATTCTTGTACTTGGAAGGTTTAAATCTGTGCATTCTAGCTTTTTTTATCTTTTAAGAGTTTATTTTTTGTAGTTCTGTAAATAAATTGAGAAAGAATCAAGAAAATAAAACATATCAGAAGTGAAAAAGTCTACTTAAAAAAATACAGTTGATCTTTATATCAAAATTATTTGAAAAAATGTTTGAAGACACTTTTTTTGCTGTGGGTGTTTATATTTAAGTATTAAAAATGTTTGAAAACAGCTTTTGGTATACATATGTAATTTGAATAGTCAAATATGTTTGAAAATAACTCACATTCTGGCATATAATATCCTTTACTCATGGTAACAACTCATCCCATTATACAATCTGTTTATTTTAAGTTCTACATCTTAATTTATACAATTAGCCAATGATTTTTTTTTACTAGTAAATCCAATATTTCACAAAGAATAGCAAATTGTCCCAGCAAAGTCAGCAACTAATATCTAATGTGTTTTCACCATAATTTTTTGGGCCCAATATAATTATTGGATTAATTCAAGCAGGAAACACATTTCAATTTACACTAATGGGAAAAAAAAAATTAGCAGACTATTCTGAAATTTTGAATTAACCCATTAACTGTGGATGATGGATATTTCCGTCATTGAAGTTCTATGGCTCAGCTGCAAATGACAGAAATATCCGTCAGTCATACATATATAAATATAACTCTATGGGAATGATGAAAATTACTGTTTTATTATGATTGATAGCAACTCAGTTTTATCTTAGAGTCAGAAAATGACAACTGAGCTGCTCCTGCTGCAGTTAATGGGTTAATATTAATTTTGAGTATGAGTGGCTGATAATAAAATCATTCTATATTACTAAAACCAATGCCACCAGCTTAACCTTCTCCTATCTCACCGAAATTTAGTACACTAACAAGCTTACATAAAATAATAATTTTTCAAAAAAATTGTATTGACACTTGTAATATTATGAAGTCATACTCTCCTAAAAGTCTGGGTAAATCAAAATTTTGAAAAACTTCCTTCAAATACGTATGAAGTTTAGATTATCCATTACAGGTGAAGTATTTAAACCATCTGGATAAAATTTTCACAATTGCCCATTGTCACAAAGTGACTATAACTTAAAATAATTTTAAAATTTATACCAAACACACACACTGTGGCTTGTCACCCTTTACATTTTCTCCACTCATGGGTATTTTTTGTCCTTTAATAACAGATTTTGACTATATTACCACAAAATGTAATTTTACACACAGTAAATTTATACAAAAAGAATGTATTAAGATCAGCATAAAATATAAGTATAGTATTAAAATTCCTGTAGTTGCAAGTGGCTGTTTTTATTGTCTTTGTAAGCTGAAAGATACATATCTTTAACATAACACTGATCTAGTGTGATTAAACTTTTACTACATCCTCTGTGGGAGAAAACATAAATGCTATTATTTAACACATACATACATACATACATTCATATATATATACGAATAATCCTCACACATTCTAAATTTTTTGTGTGTACCACAAGATCAATAAATTCAGATATGTGAAACCTACATCTCATTCACTTAGGTTATTTTAGGACAATAAATTTATAAGAACATATTTGCAGATTGTAGTCTATAAAGGTTACCATAAAATCGTGCATCTATTGTTCTCTCCACATTTTGTCCAGTGTAACTCTGTGATGATAACAAAGCTACACTAAACAAAATGTGACGTGCTAAATAAGGACCTAAGCTGAATGTATATTCAACTTTACACCACATTAATAAAATGATACAATGTTAACAATGCCAAGTTGCTTATTGTGCTATGTTTATGAGATATCACATACTGTTTGAAATAAAAAGAATTTTGGCTTTTATTTATCATTCAAGCATTTTTGGGTGGATTATAAATGATAAAAACAATGTGTTACATCATTGAAACGTTAAATATATATATATATGTTAATTCTGAATGTATTTGAATTTGTTTTCAGGTAATTAATTATGAACAGTTTTATCACATACTGATGTCAACTTCTCATAATTAACTCAAAACAACATTTAACATGTATATAAAAAATGTGTTAATTGTTGAGAATAGTGTATATTTAAATACAATCCTAATTTTTCCAGTTCATATCTGCTACCCAAACATATAATATATATGCAGTTCAAAGAGTTTTTTTCCAAGTTTAACCAGTTTGGTGAAAACATCAAATGCTCTGATGGATTGCACTTCACTTCCTGTAAAAATTGTAAATTTATCTCAGGCCAACAGAAAGAAAAAATACACATTTCTTCTCAATTTTCTCTCTCTCTCTCCAGTCTTTCTCTCTAACCTGTCTATGTTGAAAAGAATGCACTGTCTTCATAACAAGTTCTTTTGTTTTGTCATTATCTCCATAGTATATCTTGTTTATTTGCAATATTTATCTATCATTATCTTATTTCTTTCATGGTTCTGTATGTTTTTCTTTGTTTTGTAATCAAACAGTTCTTTGTGAATGTTTATTAAAAAATAAATAAAAAACTTGCCTCTAACTACGTTATTCAGTAATATACATAAGTGTCTCACTACCAGCACAAAAGATTCAAAATTACCAAAAAATCTTTCAAGTCTGGCTTATTCAAAGTATAACAATGACAAAGCATTAGAAACACATGACAGGAAAAGGAATTATCAAAACTAATGTAAAAAAATGTTCAGCTGAAAATGAAATTCTAAATATGAATTATAATTGCTTGTAAAAATTAAAATACAGCATGCAATTATTTAAGAAGAAAAGCATTTAATAGAGAAAAATTATTTGTTCTCTGAACAACTGAAAAAGCTTTAAATTTTTTTAATCATAAACATCCACACAAAGTTCTGTAAGTATTCTCAAAAAAACATAAATACTCTTATAAGTGAATGCAAATTTCCTGAAAAAGTATAGTGCTAAAACAAACTAAGGAAAATGTTAGGAAGATCATTTTAAAAAAATACAAAATATAAAAACGAGTCATTTTCTATGAGTCAAAACTTGCCTGACTCAATAAAAACCAAATTTAAAGTTATTAATATTTTAATTAAAAAAATAGTAATTACTATTTAAGTCAATGCTAATATCAGTAGTTTATCCAAACCCAAGAATAAAAAAATATATTTAGTTATTCCAAGTGAATTATTGCTATTTATACATAATTTTTTCATAGTTAAATTATTTCTACATAACTGTGTTTTGTTGTTTAAATATGATAATCAGAAGTGTAAAACAATTATCTTGATGGCCAACTTCATCTTTCCTAACAAGTTGGTTTAAATGTCAGAGTTTCCCAATAAAGAAACATATGAATGCCATATACTTATTAATTAAGAATCTGTCCCAGCTTGCCCATTTTCTCTCAGTCTCAGAGCATACAGTTACTGAGTTGATCTCAATTAAACGAGATTTTACTGTACAACAGTTGATATTAATAAATCAAATGACCTTGTATATAAAACTAGATAATTTACAACACAACTTTTGAATTGTGAACTTTACCAATTCTTTAAAAATTTACAAGCTACTAAAGTTGAATTTCCTTTTCATTTCTCGAAGGATCTGTGAAACGTGACGTCATTCATTCACTTAGTCATTTCGTACTCATAATATTAACGAGAGCCTCAGCAGAATGTGCCTCACGAGTCAAACTCAAAGAAACTGAGAAAGTTAGCCATGCAAGCCTATAAGTTATATTAATTCTAACACACACATATACAAAGAATTATAATTATTTTCTTACATAATTCTTAACATCCATACCATACTAAATCTTTTAAAAGTCAGTATTCAAATTCAGTTCTGTAAGTTGAATGTACTTACCTAATCCACCCCGTTGTTCTTTCACTTCAACGTAGATACTGTTTTGTTTCCGCTTTCACGTGTCTTTCCGCTTTCATGAAAGTTTCCGCCCACTGCCACCGCCAATAGACGTATTTTAATGACGCTGATGTCTGATTTAATCCAAACTTTTCAGTAAAATACTGTATTTGTACATGAATATTGGCGTAATAATGTAAGCCTGCTCAAGTTATTAGACATTTTTTATTGATTTATTTATTTTCGTGGAAATCATAGATTGTCAATCACGAGTTTTCTAACGCATTTTATGGTTTTATTTTCTGTTGACTATATTTAATGAATAAGTCATAAGTAAATATAATAGTTCACCGACATATCTAATTTCCGTTTCTGACACTTGTATAGTGTAATATTTAAATTTACAATATTTTCCCTCGGTATAAATGGATAGGGTCCACTAATGGAAAGGTTCAGAGGATGGCTACTAAAATGGTGCCTGATATGGATGGGTTGTCATATGAGGAGAGGTTAAGAGTTAGAAGGGATCTGATTGATGTGTTTAAGACTGTAAAGGGAATCGATAGAGTTGATGCATAATATTTTTTCCTACTTAATGGCGAGAATGGTAGGACTAGGGAACACAAGTATAAATTTTAGCAAGGTAGGATTCATCTTCAGCTAAGACAGTATTTTTTCTAACATGGTGGTTGGCTTCTGGAATGGGTTGCTTTAGAATGTTGTGATTTGTTTGTTTGTAATTAAGCACAAAGCTACACAATAGGCTATATGTGCTATGCTCATCACGGGTATCGAAACCCGGATTCTAGCGTTGTAAGTCCGCAGACATACTGCTGTGCCACTGGGGGGCTGAATGTTGTGAAGGCAGTAAATTTAAGTGACTTTAAGAGAAAGCTTGATAACTATAAGAATGGTAAGAGGTGGCTATAAAATTGTTTTAATTTATTTATTTAATAGTTTTAGTTTAGTTTAGAGGATGGGACAGCCGAGATGGACCAATAGGTCCCTTGTTGTCCCTAAACGTCATGTTAAACAGGATGTTTGATGAATACTGTTACGACAGCGGAAGTCACATGACGCTGGTAACACGTCCT